GGTCGCCCTGGCTGGAGTGCAGTGGCACGCTCACAGCCACTGCAGCCTCGACCTGCTGGGCTCTGGCGATCCTTCCGCCTCAGCCTTCCAAGTGGCTGGAACTACAGATGCACACCACCATGCCCAGCTATAGAGAAACACTTTCAAAGAAAAGGCAGGCACTGGTTAAGAAACCCAGAGCTTCACACGCAAAGCAGGCCCGAGGAGACCCTGGGCACCCGCCAGGCTGTCCTTCTCATGGTTTACAGCACAGGCCCAACCTCTTCTCTAAACCAGCTTCCTAAGCTGCAGTAACAGGAGGCTAGGTTGGGTTGGGTGTAGTGGCTGACACCTGCAATCCCAGCACTTTGGAAGTCTGAGGTGGAAAGATCACTTGAAGCCAGGAATTCAAGATCACCCCGAGCAACACAGCGAGACCCTGTCTCTAAAAGAAATTCTAGTAAAATACAAAGTGAGCCAGAAGTAGTGGTGTGTGCCTATAGTCCCAGCTTCTCAGGAGGCTGAGGTAGGAGGATCACTTGAGCCCAGACTGAGGTTGTAATCATGCTACTGCACTCTAGTCTGGACAACACAGTGAGACCCCATCTCTAAAAAATAAAAAACAGACAAGATGGCTCCTGCTTATAACCTCAGCACTTTGGGAGGCTGAGGTGAGCGGATTGCCTGAGCCCAAGAGCTCGAGACCAGCCTGGGCAACATGGTGAGTCCCTGTCTGTACAAAAATAATAAAAAATTAGTGAGGCGTGGCAGTGTAGTCCCAGCTACTTGGAAGACTGAGGCAGAAGGTTTGCCTGAGCATGGCAGGTCAAGGCTGTATTATCTGTGATTGGGTCACTGTACTCAAGTCAAGGAAACAGAGTAAGGTCTTGACTTAAAATAATAATAATAGTAATAATAAAAATAATAAAATGAGCTGGGCTCGGTGGCTCAGCTTATAATCCCACGCTTTGGGAGGCTGAGGTGAGTGGATTCCCTGAGCCCGCAGGTTCGAGACCCACCTGGGCAACTTGGTGAGACCTCATCTCTACA